ATGATGATGCTTACCAACCAACCTTTAGACACACCATCCAAATAATACCGATCAAGAATATAGATGTTAGTCATAACTTTTGATGGTGGTCGCAATAACCTTTGTGATTGTAATAACCTTCGTGATCGTGATAACCTTTGTGATCGTAATAACCTTCGTGATCGTTTTGCTTTCTTCTTTGAATTGTAATACGGACATATTTGTCATAAAAAATATCAAGATATGTAACTACATTAGAAGCTAAAACTATTTATTAAAATTTTATATTAATATGTTATATAAAAAATACATGATTAAAATAAAAAATGAAAGACATTCGTTTTTATGTGGTAAAAAAAATTGTGCTTTTGTTTTTTCTAAGTTATGTGAGCTATTATGAGGGGTTTTTAAGGGATGAGAAATTTTTTCTTATGGAATGAGAAACTATTTTTGAGCTTTTTCTATAAAACTGGTATAATAATGATATTTAAAATTTTGAAGGATGGTGATCGCGTCTACGATTAACCAATAAACGTGATATCAACAGATTTGAGTGAATGTCTAAAAAGTTTTGTATATCTCACGTGGATTTTTTTTCAAGGAAATTGATCGGCATTTTTTTAGAACCGGATTTACTAATAAATGATCACGTGCTGGACCGTATCCTTAAAATATATAGATATGATAGATTTTGGACTGAGGTTGATGTATCAAAAAAAATATTAAAATTATTATTATAAATAAAAAACCCATTTAATAACATTAATTCAACTAAACTTTTTTTAAAAAAGCCATCTAAACTGACTATCACTTGTGTGATTGATTCAATCATTAACACTAAGAAACAAACAATTTCAGAATTATTGAAATTAATGCCATTACAAAGGTGAAATAAAATAATAATTTTTTAAATATAATTAATTATATATCTTTAATAAAACAAAACAAACATGACTTGGCTGTTTAATCATTTCCCTGTATGTGAATGCCTCCATCCATCAAATATTTATGATGGTCATGATTATCATTTAATACATTTGATGTTGTATTTGATATAACAAACAATTGCATCACCCAGGTAGTAATGATACCAAGGCCATGCATAAACAAAACTCTTAACAATGCCTGTCTACCCAGATCTCTGGGGTTCACAATAATAAATTACTTTTCTTGATTATCAATTATGGTTGCTCATGAATAATAAACCTGATGTTGATTGCAGGTGTCAGATTTAATTAAAATTTCCTATCACAAACAAGTCAACAGGTGCTTTCACACCGCCTCATAACCATGGAATTTTTTTTCCATGGGCAAGGTGAAAACATGTTGGAAGGCTTTGGACAAAACATTCCCTATCTTCCACTCAGACCAAGCTAGATGTTACCATATGGGCATTGATTGCTGATGGGAGTTGACATTTGTGTGATGATTGCTTTGTGTTATTGCCACACTAGAATAAAAGTTGGTGTCTGCAACTGGTTGAAAATTCTCCAACTCAGAAGTTGCAACCTGGATTGCTGTTTTGGATTTTCCCTGAATTCAGAGTTTTGAGTCCTGGGTTGCTGTAATTTTTTATGAAAAGAAAAAGTATTAATATTTAACAATTAATTATTTAAATGTTTATTTTGTTGAAAAAAAATATACATTGATAGTGTGCATTTTCTGTGCTTAACATCCATGTGACCCTAAGTCTGGACAAAAGATCTCTTTCTATGAGTTTGGCTGGTATATCTCAAAGGTGTCTCCTGTCTTGTTAGTGGCATGCCTACTCGCCAACAACCTACCCCCATTCAAAAAACAAATTCAGTTGGTCAAATAAAAATTAAAGAGAAGCAGAATATTTATGGGAACATTTAATTTATAACATAACATACCAAACAAAATCTGAACCATTTTTATAACTTTTTCCTTGTTGGCCATATTGTTGACAAAGATGTATATAATCATGCAATAATTTTAATCTATAGGACAGAATCCAGTCCCCTACCCAAAATTATTAAATTGGTTAGTATCAGAGAAACAGAGCATTTATGAAAATGATTATACAAAACAAACACTATTTTACAACTTTCCTCCTAACATCAGAATCCAAATGCAATTTCAGGGCCACCAACCCTGCTCTGAATTGCGACCTCCTGTGCTGGAAACGAGCTGCAGATTCTCTTAATATTCATCAGCAGAGTTGCGACTTGGTCACAGTGCCATCCTTGCCCTAGAGGCGGATCGTTGCAGGCAACTTTTCGACCAGCATACCAGCAGCCATCTCTGGTCTGGGAGGATTAGTGAAAACGTCATTGACGATTGATGCAGTCTTGGTAAACTCCAGGACATGTCCACCCCCCCCTGGAATTCAGTTGCATCATTGTATCATTGGGGGACACTAGTCAGATTAGCCTTTGTACATGAGGAAGATGTGAGAATGACTGTAGTGTTCAAGGTAGCGTGCGTGCTTCAACGCCTGCTATTTTCCTGTAATCAAACATCACATATTTGAATTGTTTCTTTTTCAACGGTGTGCTGCCTTGACATCTTGTAATTATAATATTAATAATAATATTATTGATTAATATTATTATTGATTACGAGAAGTAAAATATTATCAAAGAAAATCTTGTAATTACCCAGCAAGATCTGCTCCGCGTTTTGATTTCCGATTAAAATGTTTATAATAACCAAAAATATCAATACAAGTAAAAAATAGTACCTCTGGTTAGTTATTAACACATTTCTTTAGGGACTAAAACCAAACCAAACAACAACACTCACATTTTGTCACCTTGGGCTCTGTCAAAAAATAAATTGTTTTTTGTTTTTCCAAAATAAAAATCAATTCGCGTCTGTCCTACCAAAAAAAAAAAAAAAACCAATAGGATAAATAATTAGTGTGTACATGTCGATCAAATAACAAAACTTTTTTTTATCCTTTAAAAACAAAATGTCAGACAGATTTAAAAACACGAAAAAAAGAAACAAAAGCGATAAAGAAAAAAATATCACTGGGTAAGTGTTTTAAGAATAAGGATGGTGGTAGTGTTTATCGCCTGCCACTCGTCGTTACTTTAGTTATCATTTAAGAAATAAATGTTTTAGTTTACTAAGATTTCGACTTTTATCAGAACTATCACTACCAACAACGACCTAATTACCCAGCTTGAAACATGTATAAAAGAGAATAAAAGGCTTAGGATCGAAATTGAGGAGAAAAAAGTTGGAATGGTGGAATTATCAGAAAAAAGCTGTGAAGTAAAAAGTAATTTTTTAACCACTAAAGAAAAAATTGCAAATCTTGATTCGCAGATCACGAAGAAATATCAGGAATTGGAGATATTAAATGATAGAATCAAAAAAGATCGCAACGAACTGACTAGTCTCAAAGAGGCTGAAGAATCTATGGCTAGGGAATCGATCGTAATTGGGGAGAAAATTAAAAAAGAAAAAATGTTTATCAAAGATTTGAACACAGAATTTTTTAAAAATGAAAACACTCGTCACCGCCTACACAACGCCATTCAAGATATAAAAGGAAAAATTCGCGTTTTTTGCAGAGTTCGTCCACAAACTCCTGCTGAGAAAGATGTCCCTCTTATTGAGATCAAGTACCCAGGGGAATGTGAAAGCAAAAAAATCATGATTGGTTCTGTTGTGAAAGATTACCTAAACAAAAAGAAAAATATTTTCAAGGAATACAAATTTGATCATGTTTTCAAACCTGATAGCACTCAAGGACAAGTATACGCTGAGGTCGCTGCTGACGTTGTCCAATCGGTGGTCGATGGGTACAATTGTTGCATTTTTGCTTATGGTCAAACAGGTGCGGGGAAAACTTACACAATGCAAGGTTCTGATGATACTCCGGAAAGTGAGGGTATGATCACAAGAGCGTTCACACACATCTTTGGCCTCATCAACAAATTGAATTTTCAGGGGTGGAATTATACTATCGAAGGTCAATTCATCGAAATATATAATGATCAAATCTATGATTTGCTTATCTCACATGGAGAATCCAAAGATGTGAAGATAACACATGACATTGAAGAGGGTTCAACAAGGATTGCTAATGTGAAAACAGGTAAAAAAGAAAGAAGAGTCATTTAAAATAATGATGATGGTGATGATGATAAATAATTTTATTATTATTATTATTTAGTGAACCTTGAATCACCAGATTGTGTTAATCAAGTACTTAGATTCGCAACAAAGAACCGAACTGTTGCTTCTACAAAAATGAACGATAATTCTTCAAGAAGTCACAGCATATTTATGATTCATATCAAAGGTTCTAATTCTGTTACAAATGAGAAACTATCGGGTTCCTTGAACCTTATTGACCTGGCAGGTTCAGAGAAAATATCAGCTTACGAATCAACTGGAGATCTTCAAGTTGAAACGATAAATATTAACAAGAGTCTCAGCAGTCTAAAAACAGTTATACAAAACATAAAGGAAAATGCGAGTCATATCAATTACCGTGACTCCACCTTGACCTATGTTTTGAAGAATTCATTAGGTGAACCATTATTGTTATGTTGTATATGGATTTTTTTTAAACTTGTTTTTATTTATATCAATAATAATAATAATAATATATAAATATATGTATGTGTATATATGTATATTATACATATGTAGGTGGAAATTCCAAGGTGTTGGTGTTAGTTAATATTTCCCCGGTAAGATCATCTCAAGCGGATACTGAAAACAGTTTAGAATTTGGGCTTATTGCAAAAGCAGCTCACATCGGCATCGCAAAAAAAGGTTAAAACTTAATAATAACAATAATATTATTGTATTATTGCATCTCAAGTTTCTATTTAATTTCTAACATTATTAAAAAAAGTAAAATTAAAAGATAGATATATATTACTAGCATTAATATTGCATCATTATTAATTTCTTTTTATTTGTATTAAAATTTAAATTTAATCTATATTTTCTTTATTTGAGCGTCGAAGGAAAAACTATTTACAATATTATATAATAATCATAATCATAATCATAATAATTATAATTACTATCACTATTACGGTAAAGAAATCATTCTTTTAAAAAATAATTACATAAAAAAAGAACAATAATTAAAAAATTTACAAATATTCTTCAACTTTTGTTATAAATAATTAAATCTTATTGTAATCTTGATCGATTATCATATTTATAACTATTTCCTGGGTAAGTTGGATTTGGAGATGAATGACGAGTTTGGTGAATGAATTAAACATGACGGATAAGATGATTGATGCAGTTGATTTGAAGGTTGATGTGTTTGGTATGATTGACATAATGATGTAAATGAGTTTCATATAAGGTTTCCGGTCAAAACTGTTTTCTCAAAGCCCAAACTAGTTTGGGCAATTTGGGCTTCTCAATATTTTTTATAAACATGAACATTAAAAAACTATACCAATCAACTTATTTTAACTTAAACAACTTTAAAGTAATTTCACCCAATTTCGGCTAATAACAAAAAATAGTTTGGGCTTATAAAAAAGTAATTTTTGCCCAAAGTGTTTCAGCAATTTCGGCTACTAATTGAGAGAGTTTCGGCCGGAAACCTTAGTTTCATATTAACTATTTTTATCTAGGAGTAATTCTATATATCACCTGATAACAAATGGAAGATTTTAATAATCACACTACTAAAATTTGATCCCTGAAATTCTTGGTAATACCAATGTTCACTTTGTCTGGTTTTGTTGCAGCATGCCCCATATGATAATGACTTTGGTCAATAACTGTTAACTCCTTGTATAGGTTGTCAATCAGTAATAACTGTTGACGCTTAATATTTTTGCCCGTCACTTTCCTTACATTTACACTTAACAAAATGTTTACAAAAACCAAAAACCCAAAACCTTTGCTTCTTTACTAAGCAAATAACCAAAACCTCAGAGTTCTATACCATTCTAACAACCAAACAAACAATTAAACCCTACTGTTTAATTTCCAACCACAAAAGTGTTTTATTAATAATTTGTTTATTATTAATTATGAAATCTTATGAGCAAGGCTCTTAAATATTAATATATGTAGAATTATTTAATTATCCGATTTAATTTTTCACAAGTGACATCATTTATAATAAAAATATTAAAATGAGACTAGGTCACGTGCACGACATACGATTGGACGGCACCTCGATAAATCGTTTTATTTTATTTGATGTAAAATTTATACTATTCATTGTTTTAAAAAATAATTTAGACTACATGATGTTATTAAATAATGGCAATTTGCTATGTTAGCACTTTTTTAATTTCATAAGGCTTATGAAACCTTAGCATTGTCCTCCATATTTGTGGTCTGTAAACCTTGTCCCTATCAGAGTATATTTAGTGATGACTAATGGAATATTGTAGTTGAAACAAGCCCGTTTGTTATCCAGGGATCAATAATCCCAGATACCATATCAACTATGATCCACAATGCAGGCCGGCAGCACAAATCTTCAATGGATCGCGACAAACTCTGCCAATGATATCTCCAGTAAAAACAACTAAAAATAAACATTGCAACAAAATTTTAATTATTTATATTAATAACATTTTTACTGTACAAAAGCAATACGATGTCAGATTTAATCGTAATTTATCAGAAAGTATGTTTTTTTATGTACTATAGACGATGTGCCATTTTAGAATTCGGATTCGGGTAAAAGAAAAAAAAAATTTCGAAAAATTAAGTAACTAGTGAAATTGCATATTTGGATTATGGTTTTTACGTATCAACAAGATATATTCTGATAAATATTTTGATAATAATGATGATGGAGACAAAATTACATCCGTTGGCATATCACACAAGTAGAATTAAATTTCTTAAGAATTTATTATTATAAATCGTTAACTTTTATTTATCAATTTTTTTTTATAATAATAATTAATTAAAATCAGATTTTAGTGACTATAAAAAATGATAAATGAAAAGCATTGAAATGATTAATTAGGTTGATAAAATTGGTATTAAATTTTTAAACCTAATAATAATCCAGTTGAATTTTTACTGACAAAATCTTTTTTTTATTATTATTAATTTAAAGATTAGCTGAAGCTAAGGATGTTATTACAACTAAGGTTATTTATTATTGTTGGTATTATTATTTGAAATATTTTTTATTTTTTTAATATAAATTTATTTTAGGAATAACGATGTGCAATGGACGATTGATTAATTATTGCTTTTTTATTTATAATTTTGAATATTCGTTGATCAATAAAGTCTTTTATTATTATGATTACGAAGATAATAAACACAATATTATTTGTTGATTTAATTAAATTCTCATTTTCTATATAATATAAATAATATGTTGCTACTACTCTTTACAGACGTCTGCCTCTGCGACCACCTTTTCTACGAGCTAAGATTTAACAAATAATAAAAATTAAATTAATTCATTGTTGAATATTTATTAACACCCATCCATATTCACCTACACACACACACACAAAAAAAAATACATAATGAATACAAATAATGAATGAGGATATACGTACTACTATCAGTTGGAATAGGAGTGACATCTTCTATTCTACCAATTTTCATTCCAGATCTAGCCAAAGCTCTTAAAGCTGATTGTGCACCAGGTCCGGGTGTTTTTGTACCATTACCACCAGTTGCTCGTAATTTAATATGTAAAGCAGTAATACCTAATTCTTTACATCTTGCTGCTACATCTTGTGCTGCTAACATAGCTGCATATGGTGATGACTCGTCTCTATCAGCTTTAACTTTCATACCTCCTATTATTATTATTATATTTGTAATGAATTAGTGAGAGGGAATATTTTTTTTGGGGATTATGTGTTTCACCACTATTCCCTTTATTTATAATATGAATAATATATATATATCATAAAAAATCTCTCAATTTAAAATTGAAAAAATTTTAGAAAGTAAAAGAACACTCGAAATAAATAAAATATTTATTCAAGACAGCATAAACAAATAATTTGAAGAAGAGTATATTCATACCAGTTACACGAACAATTGTTTCTCGGCCTGATAAATCAGTTACATGAACAAAAGTATCATTGAATGAAGCAAAAATATGTGCTACCCCAAAAACTTTTTCATCGCCTTGAACTTGTGGTCCAAGTGAAATGTTCTCTTCTACTTTGACTTTCTTTACTTTCTTAGACTACAAAAAAATTCAATTAATTAATCAAATAAATAATTAACTATTATATTTGGAGCTCGAATGAATGAAAGAATTAATCGATTAATTGGAAAAGGAAAAAGGAAAATATTACCATTGTTTAGAATTGATTTTTAAAGCAACAAAAAAAAAAAATATAATTGTAAAAAATTAAAATTAAAAAAAAAAGATGAAAAATCAATTTAAACCAATAAAAATGATTGATCTACATAAATCATGTGCAAAAATAATAACACGAAAAATTGTTCTTTTATTATTATTCTCATTTAAATCAACTTTTTTCGACATTTTATGTAAATATTATATAATCGTTAATTGTAATTTATTTAATATGAATATTAATAAATTATTCCTTTTTTATTTTCAAAAAGAGAATGAAATTAAAAAATTCTCCATATAAAAAAAGTAAACTTTTTTTACAAATCGATCGTGATACCAATAACAACGGCTCTCCATTTAGAAAAGTCATTTCTGATAGTTTTAAAGAAGCAAGAATCTCATCATCACCATCACCATCGACACCATGTGCGAGCTCTTCAATATTTAAAAAATACAACACGTCAAAATGTCCTGACATTCTTTACGATCAAACTAATGAGGGAAATAACAGCAATTTATTTGGTAATTTATCTAAAAAAAGTTTTTCAAGATATATATTTTCATTTTGTTCAATGATAATATATTATTAATATATTGGTGTGTAAAAAATTAGAATTAGACGACTACAACAATAGTACTACATCATGCAAATTAATTGGATCTCGTAGTAATAACAGTAGCCATAATTTAATGACAATTTCCTCGCCGATCAATGATAATAATAATAATGGTTATGATTATGATTATGAATTAACACCAACCCGTATAGCATTATTATTAACACAAAAAGCATCTGCAAGTAAAGTTACACTTAGTTCTACGGTATTATTGTCTAACAAAGAAAATCCCGATGATATTAGTATTGATAATGATTTACCTGAAAACTTAACTTTGAAGACTTCTAACAATTACTATTATTCAAATCAAAGCAACTATAACGACAACAACAATTATATTAATAACGTTAATAATAGTAGGTGTAATCTAGAACCAGTAATCATACTTGATGACGATGATAATCAAAAAGTCAAGAATAAAACAAATAACAGAATAACAGATTTAAACTCTTTTTTAAAAGTTGGAGAAAATAATAACAAAGATAATGTTCATTTGGAAAACTTGTTAAAAAAACCATCATCTAATCAGGCTGGTAGTAATAAAAGAAAACTAGTAAACACAACACCCAAAGGGTTCAATCTTTCTAAAAAATCTATTCAACCACTACTAAATCGCGTAAATGGTGAACCAGCACTTAAATTTTCAGGTGTTAAGGTACCATATAATAGTCATTACCATTGTGTTAATTGAAACAGTTTTAACTGATTTATTTTTTCATAGAAACGTCAATCTAACAATATGAACATTGATAAAAGAAGAAACTTTACAGTTCCAAAACCTTTTAAATTTCATGGATCAAACTATAAGTCAGCGGCAATAATAGACACGACTCCTATTATTCCTTTGGCAGAGAGGATTAAATTGTTTATGGAAAGAACACCTGAAAGATATAAATCAAAAGTTGTAAAATTTCACGTAAGTAGAAAAAAAAAAAGAATTATAATTGGAAATGAAAAAAACAAACAACCAACCAATTAATACGTGTGTATATATATATATAGCCAACTTCTTTGTCACATAATCAACTTACAAGACCAAGATCTCCCAATTTACTTACAAAATTAAGAGCACAACATATCAGGTAAAACGAAACTTTTTTTAAAAGTTATTTATTTATTGATTTATGTCAATAAAAATTCAATGTTTTTTTATTTAGGATTCTAAACGTCGAGGAAAATATATTTCATAATAATTATAATAATAATGAGGATCATCAAGGGCAAATAGTAAATAATAATAACAAGTTGAAAAATACGATTTCCCATTCTTCAAATATCCCAAAATCTAAATCACCGGAACAACAAAATCAGTCATTGCCAACAACTAATAATGATAATAGTAATGACGATAATAGTAATCGTAATAGTAATAATGTGAAAACATATCATTCAACACCTAAAAAATGTAAAAAAAAAACTTTTATTACACCACATCACAAGATATTAATGCCTAAATTTGCATTACCAGGTGATAAAATCTCGCAAAGAAAAGTCAAAGTCGTTAAAGGCAAAATGAGACAACAAGAAGAGGAAGAGAAACAAGCACATAATTTTAAGGTACAATCATTTCCTAGTGATTCGCCTGATGTTTTGTATGTTTTTTTAAAAAATAGGAAACGTGAATCAGTAACTTAATATTTAATATTTCTAACTCAATATTATCAATATTATCCTTTTTATTTAGTATTGTAATAAAAAGCAACCACTCCAAATCGGTTCATTACCACTAACAGAACCTAACCCATTTAAACTGGTCACAGACATTAGAGGAGAAAAGTATCAAAGAACATTTCAGGAAACACTTACGAAAAATATTCAAAAAGGCAATGAGAATGTTAGATTTCATGCTACACCAACGCCACGAAAAGATCATAATGACATGGTTTTTTATACACCCAAAAGGTTCACCAAACTACCAACAAATCCAATAGAATTTGTGTTCAAGACGGATACGCGTGTTGTTGAACGTAGGTTATTTGATGAGGAGAGAAAGAAACGTGATCAACATGAAAATTTTATTAAGTTAATGAAGTTACAAGAAGAGAAGGTTGGTGAAATTTTTTTAAAAAGATTATGATTACGAGCGAATGATTAATTGTTTATAAACGACAAATAATTATATTATTAAAGGAACGTGTTCGAAAGGAGATACGACGTTTGCGAAAACTCACAATTCTTAAAGCTAGACCTATAAGAAGATACTTTCCAATTAGGATCAAACCATCATCAAGAAAACCAACTAAACCAATTTCACCATTTATTGGTGATAAACGACGTGCTAAAATGAAGGCTAATAAAAATTTAGATTGGGTAAAAAAAAACCTTCTAAATAAAATGAATGAATGAATCTTAATTTTAGCTATAACGATATAATTTAATAAATAAAAATGCTTTGTCACTTCAAATTAAAATTAGCCAATCAATAAAAGGGCTCACTGTATGATTCATTTTTTTGTAATCTGTTGAATCTGTATATAAAGTGCAGTGCATGATATACATAGAATAAATCTGCCACTGTACCATCCAAGAGGAGGGAGGTAAACTGTGTGGGAATAGTTATATTGCGAGACATAAGTTGTATTACAATCTGGTCTATTGAAAAGATTTGCATTGAATTGTCAGTAAATCAACAATCACGTTTTTAATGAATCATGATCGTTTCACGACTGATGCATTTTTATCGGTTGAAAAATTAGCATGTATGTTGTCAATGAATAAAAAAGCTTTTCGTCGAGTATTTACATACAAAACATCAATTCTTGGAATAAAAAGTCCATTGGTCATATCAGGCTCTAGTTTGAACCAACGTTGGAACAGAGTGTTCAGTAAGACTCTCCTTCTAATCATGTTATCAACCAAATGCATGCTTAAAAAATGAAATTCATGCCCTGTTCAAAATGATCAAGTCAATCAATGATTTTTGAATAAAAAAGCACCAGGTCTTGTATCTCAGCCACCAAAAGAGTAGGCAACTACTTGTGAAGTTTGCGGAGAGATATGGAATAGATGCACACACATTCTGCGCAGATTTGGGCATTGTCTTTCGTCTTTTTGGTTATCAGAATGATATATGGTTATGATGGAGGTTTTAGATAGCGATTGCCAAAAATATTTTGAAAAGGCGAAAGTAAAATTAAGGGTTATATGTCAAAGCTAGTTTCGGTTTGTGGCGAAATCTTTTGACTTTCGCACAGTCACGAAATTCTCTAGTTTTGGAAAACCAACGTTGTTTCTGCATGAACCTACAGAAATAAAAAAAGTGCATTTAAAGAAGTTGTTAGAAAGATGCGTAATGCAAAATTTGTGCAAGGTGATTTGAGAAATCTAAACATTCTCTGTCAAACAAAAATGAAGGATAACTAACAATGATGGGTTAAAAAAATTAAACTTGTCGATTATGATTGAGCTGGTAGGATTGATCACATAATGACAATCTATCCCTCGTTTCTTAATCCCAAGACATGTGATGCTTGCTCTGGATGTCAGATTAAACGGGAACATGATGACTAACTATATCAACATATTAACCAAACGATAAGAGGGCATCAATAATATAATGGCAAATACATTGGATAGTTATCTGTGTGAAATTGATCCTGTAGTAGTTTTTCTTTTAAATAATTGCTTTTTTTAGAACTTGATTTATTCAATAATGTTTTATGAATATTAAAAATAAAATTGCAGTTGGTGAAGTCAATAGTAGAGATTTTACCAGTACTACATCACCACTTGAAATTGTGACTTTAAATAAGTATATCTAATTCTTCGTCACCATGAATATCAAGTTGTGAATGTCTTGGAATGATGCATTTACCTTCATAAATCACGAAAAAATGTGATGGGGTCTCACAGTATAAGTTTGATATTTGGATCCCCTAGAGTCTGTTTGTGGCACTTGTCCCATATTAAATAAAATAACATGATTTTGATAAATACAATAAATCATTTGTTTGTTTATTTTCGTGGATAAGATTATTCTTTGGTTGAATATTAATTTTAATAATAATGTTTATTATTTTTATTAACTTATTAACTAATTAATTAATTAATTGGAATAAAAATAATCACTAAAATTATAAGATATGCAGAAAAATATATTTAGCCTTTAAACAATTGTTAATGTGAAGAAAAATAAATAAAGGCTTGAATTATTTGATTTAAGCAAAAGAAAATTTACATTAAAGAAATTTCATCCATTAATTCATTCATTCAGCACTTTTCCTAATCCAAGATTGTTTTATTAGCGATTGTCACATCACCAATTTTGTTCAAATAAGCAGCCACAGGTTGTGACATTGTAGTAGTTGGTCTACCACTGAATAAAGCTCCTGTCACAATATCGGCAGTTAATTCTGACAACCTGAAAATAATTATTTATATTTATAAATATTATTATAAACATATAAATTATAAATATATTAAAACATATAAATTATAAATATATAGATTAAATATTTTCCTTATAAAAAAAGAAAAATAATAATAATAATTTACAAACCATTTTTTTTGTTCTTCATCAAGTTGAGGTTCTTCTGAACTATTTGATAATGCTTTTATAGCATCAAAATGTAATTCTACGCGAGATCTATATTTAAGAAATGGTCCACTAGCTTGATTGAGACATTGCTAAAAATATTAGAATATTCAATATAATATTCAATTTTTTAATAATTTGCATATATTTGTTTTTAGGAAATATTTTGCTTACATAAAGTAATGCTAATTGATGTGCCATATATTTATGATTTGTAAGTTTTATATCTTGTTGGAGTTGTAAAGATACTGAAACTAATTGATTTTGTAAATTCATTCCATGAAAATGTGCTATATTTAATATAATATTGTTAGTGACTGCATATAGATGTATGTAAATATATAATTGAAATTTACCCATAGCACTCATTTTGTTTGATGAATCATTAAATAATGTAGTATTGGGGGTTAATCTCTTTGCAGACTTTGGAAATAAATCACTAAGTCCTAGTTCTAACAAGTAGGTCTTATAATAATATTCAAGTATGTTATTTATAAAATTAATTAATAGACTTATTTATAACCTATTTGTATATATGCACTTGTTTGGTTGATTATTCATTTATTCGTTATAATGTTTAACTAACCAACTTACTTGAATATCTTTCTTTGATGCAGCTTCATCTTCAAGTTGAAATATTATTGTCTCTAGAACAGAAAGTGCATTTTCAATTTCTTTTTTATTGAATTGTTGCTAGATATCACAGTAATAATAATAATAATAATAATAATAATAATAATAATAATAATGTTAAGATAATATATAGATATTATTAGAGCACCTAATAATTTAAAATTAATTAATTAATAATTAATAATTTTTTTTGTGGAATGTATTTCTTGAAATTTAACTAATATAATATTTATTTAATCTAATCTGATAATCTAATTCCCATAATAATGATTAAAAACTATCAATCAATCAGCTAATTAAACACTTGGTTTTTTTTCCTTTGCTCTTTTCAATTGATTCGATGATAATATTTCAAAAAGATCACAGCCGCCCAATTCATTCATAAAAAAGAAATTTCACAGACCTGGTTCAAGTTCTCTATTTTAGTATCTGAACTTGCAAGCGATTCCTCTTTATCCAACAAAACCTCCAACCTTGTCAGTGTATTCAAAATTTGCAAACCTATTCTTTTCTTTCTAGATCTAGGTTTTTGAATTAGAGGTTCATGAAGGTGTATTTCAACTATTTCACAATAAATATTAAATAAATATTACTTGTAAAATAATTTTTCGCCATAAATACTTGTATATAATTTTAATTATAATTATTATTATTAATATATATTAAAAATTAAAACCTTGATTTTTATTCGTTTCATTCAAAGTTACAAGAGGTGGTGTTGTTTTAAATTTGCTCATATTAATCAAATATTTATTAATTTTAATCCCTTGATCTACTATATATGACGAAAATGGCGATCATTGAAAACTTCAATGAAAATCACGTGAAAATTTAAATATTAATATTAAACTCGTGTATAAGTACAAGTACGAATCCCAACCCTGTATTATTAGGGGTGTGTATTTCAATTCGTATTATTATTTAACTCTTTTATCGAACATAACTTATTTCTTTTCATTCCCATTTATATTGACATGTAAAACTTGCTTTTTCAAATTATAATAAACACTTATTGTGTATGAATTTGATTTATTTATTTTTGCTTCCTATGTTGTAAAATAAGCATTATCATTTGAATGAGTACCTTATTATAAAATTATAATAACCAATAATAAAAATAAAAGATAAAAGTAAAAGAAGAGTACAATTTATAATATTACAACCAAAAATTAAAGTAATAAATGAAGCTATCAAAGAGCTAAAGAGCAAATACAGCCTTATTTATTATTTAAAATAAA